CATAAAACAGGCTGAGAAGGGGCAGGCAAGCGTGGTTCTCTGTAGTGTTTTGGGGTTTGTGTTTGTTTGTTTTTTTGTAATGGTGTTTCCTCTTTTCTAATGTCTAACAGTGTTTATAAATTCTAATTGTGCATGACTCGGAGGAGGAGAGGGACCATGTATTACAGAGTTGAGACTAGTACTTACTAGGAACAGTCATTACACAAATGACCTCTCACCCAAAGTTAGTTAAACAACAGGTTGAGAATGAGAAGTAACGAAGGTGCTCAGTTGTAGATCTGCTTGAAAAGATCTTGAAACAGGAGCGAGTGCAGTACAACAATTTGTCTTGATATTTATTCTGGTTGATGATGAAACTGATTATCTCAATGTTATATTCCCACTTCTTAGTTCCTCTGGTCACATGTGCTCTGCTAACACTTCATTAAAGGAGATTAGGCCCAGCCAAAGGCCTGTTCACTTTCCTGGTCCTATGGCTTACGTCTGAGAATCAGAAGACACGTACCTCGCGTTGCATTTGGAAAGCCGTGGGCAGTAGCATCCTGGGTTTGATTGCCAGGCAGGAGCAGGATGGCGGTAGCCGGCCTGTGCTTGTGCTTGGCCCTGTGCTTGGTTTGGCCCACAGCCGGATCCCGGGATGAGATGGTGAATTATACTGGCTTGGTTTGCCTCTCTGATCACTTGTTCCCTGCAGACAGACTCAGCTAGCAAGGTAGTTTCTGTCTCGGTGTGGATCTGTTAACGTGCTCATGACGTAGCCCAAGAAAAGCGAAATTTGAACTACCTGAAGGCTGTTACGTGCGACTTGACCTGGACATTGGCCACCCCGGGCTGGCCTGCCTCTTCCTTGCCTCTGATATGTGCACACTGGCAACTCTCTGCCCCACCTTGCCTTTTCCCCTGTGTCCTTGCATCCTTGTGTTTGCCTAGCAGTGTGTTACAGCTGCCCTCTCTGCTTTTCCTGTGGTGCTTTGACTGACTCTGTTCTTGCAGACTTGAAGCTGAAACACTGTTGGAATAGAAGTGGGAAGGATTTCTCTGTTTTGCGGTTTACTGAAAGACAGTCCACAAAGACAAAGTTTTGTTGTTGAATTTCAAGAAGCTATTCCCCCAGAGTTACAGAAGCTTGTCTGATGTGATTTGTATTGCAGGGTGTATAGTTTAATCTGAGTGTTTTGCATAAAATTAAATTTTCTGTGTGTTTCCTTGAAACTTTTGTGACCTTCTTAGTCAACTCTTTCTAGAAGCTTTAATTGGGAAAACGTTCTCATGGAGTAATGTAGTGAATAGTACACCAAACTGGTCCAGTTTTGTAAGAAATTTAACCTGAAAACAAATTTTTAAAAGCCTTGTAGTCAGAAGAGACTTGGGATAATTGCATTACCTTTAGCTGCTGGGATGCATAGAGTTTTTTCAGAGAGACCCTGTCTGGCAGTGCAAGTTCTTGTAGCAGCTGAATTTATCTATAGAGCAAATAGCAGTGTATTTGCTATATAGAATGATTACTACAGTATTCAGGGTTTTTAATGGACCTTTAATCTTTTGGTTGTGTCAGCTCTGGATGTGCTGGTAGCTGACACTGCCATTTTTCAGGAATTGTATGTGGAACTTCCTTTAAGTTGCCTTCCTATTGAGAGTGTTTAAATCAGAATTGGAAACCTTAAAGATGCACAGCATCATGCTTTTTATTCATTCTCATTTAATGATCTCACGTGGAGAATGGAGCCTTCTAAATCTAGACAGTGCTCCCTTATTCCCACCAGTCTAATTGAACATTAATTCTCTTGCTTCACAAATCCTCTGAGAGATGAAGAGAGCCTAGATATGTCTTATTTTAGAAATGATTTTTAGAACCTACTTGCCAAATTCTCTTAGTTGTCAGTTTAGCAAAAAGAGGACTGACATGGTGAGATAAAAATACCTACTGGAATTCTGGGGTTTTGGTGACTAATGTGTTTTGGTTTTGTTTGTTTGTTTAGAAATTCCTCCTATATGGATCAGCCTTCTAGTGATGGTGAAACTGGAAGAAGACCACTCTAAGCAAACCCAGGATGAATCGGGTGCCAGGTGATACAGAAAATGCTCACAGTAGCAGTGTGGAATCCTGTCCTTCCTTGCGGGATGTCCACTCCATCAACCCCACGCAGCTGATGGCAAGGATTGAATCATACGAAGGCAGAGAGAAGAAAGGCATATCAGATGTCAGAAGGACTTTCTGTTTGTTTGTTACATTTGATCTCTTATTCATAACCTTGCTGTGGATAATAGAATTAAATGTGAGTTGTCTGCTCAGTACCCTTAGACTTTATTAATTTGTTTATTCACTTCAGGAGTGGTTAATGAGTTGCTCTTTTCTATCCCAAACTATGTGCTATTCCTATCTGTTGAAATTAAAGCAGCTTCTTACTTTTAAGCTTTCATGAACATAGTATCTACTCAACTGCATCTGCTTTTAGTCCGTAGGATACATGGCTGCTTATCTTCTTATCGTTAAACCTTTTGATGTTCCTGTAGTCTATGAACAATGCTGAAGAAACCATTGGAAATCCAGTGGACTTACAAAACCGTTACTGTACATCTCTGAGTTTGGCACGGAGTGTGAATTTTAACAGGATTCGAGAGTTTGTCTTCTAAGTAGCTCAGTCAGTGATATTTCACTGAGGGATTAGTCCCTGGAAAGACTTCAGTGGCCAAAACCTTTCTTTTACTGTTATGTATTTTCTTTGAGACAAACTTAAGTGTGCAATGCATTGTGTATGGCAGGGTACATTTAACCAACAAACTCCCACGGTTGACACCTTTTAACTCCAGCATTTATAATTTGGAAAACGAGGCAGTTCTCCTGAAATTTCCAGAAAGCAATAGGATAGCTGATTTGTTGTTATTTCGTAAGTAGCATCCTAGTTCTTGAGCTAGGTTTTAAGCTATAATCTAAAGTATGCCTTTAAGAAGGGACACACAGGAAAAATGGGAGGAATCCCTTTTCTAGACAAGAAAGATCTTGAGTAAACTTTTTTTGTCAGCATTCCTTTACAAGATAAATACCCTTAGTTATTGATCTGACATTATGAATTTTCAGGAGCTGACTGTTCAAGTAGTTCATTGATATATTGAAAAAATAACACTTTTCAATTTAATTTGAGAAAGCAAATTTGCTTACTGTAATTTTGGGACTAGACTTCGTTGTCTGTCTAAGAGGAAAGACTGTTATATCCAGTGCATACAGTTAGCTTGTCTCAGAGAAGCTGCATAGTGTTCCAATGCATTTCTTTTTTTGGCCAGTGTCTCAACAGCTTGAGCTTGTTCCACTAAAAGGAGCAGTGTCTGGGTTTGTATCTCTTGTCGAGGATTCAGAGTACAGATTTTCATATTAGTGCTCTTAGAATATCTAAGACTCTGTACAGAAAATGCTACCAACTCATGATGTTTCATTTTGAATGCTGCAGCATTAAGGGACATCAAGATCCTAGCAGTTTTCTTTGTGAAAAGCTTTCTTTTAAGGAGAACATACTACGAACTGGAGTCGTATACTGCAAAATGTCAGCAGAAATGAAAAACAGGTTTTTGTCTTTGGAAGTCATAATATTAGAAGCCATCATTTGATATCTGGGATCTGATGCATGGTTAGGCTTTTTTGTTCTGTTTTTTAAGTTAAGTTTTGTTCATTGGGAAGTCAAATAGCACTGCGTTAGGATTGTCCATCACTGGTACATAGGTAATGAGACTTCAGAATTGCTGCCAGAGTTCCTGTAAGTATTGTTTTCCCTTTGTCGCCATTATCCAGGGTGCTTAGGTTTAATTTATTTTTGAACACTTCAGGGAGTAGCTCCATGGCAGTTTTAGCAAAGCCTAAATCGAGGCTGTCGTGGTTCTCTGTAGCCATGCAGTGAACAGCTTGGAGCAGGGGAAGCTGATCTTCCTTATTTATGCTGGAAACAGATGATCACAGCTGATGCAGTAGAGCAACCAAGAGGAAGCTGTATTTAGAAAGTTATTTGTCAGGTAGCCATAGAGGAGAAGGAGAGGAGAAAAAAAAAATAGAAGAAATTTGGAATTGGAGTGAATAGTCTCAGGAAAACACTGTCCAGCGCTATAGTTGGGCAAAGTGTGGAAGTGTCTAGACTGCATTGCTTTGAGATGGTGAGCATATGTTGTTGCTGTGCTTTGGTACCTCCTTTAAAAGGACAACAGTAGTCAAACTCAAAATTAAAGCCTTCTGTTGGTGTCGTTTTCCAGTGCTTTACGTAACTATTTCATGCGATGTTTAATTATTGAATTTAATATTAAAAACAATAGATATGGACACGAAGGTTTTTTGCTCCCAACTAAGAGATATACTTGCTCTCTGACCCAATACATCCTAAATGATTTTCTTACTAACCCAGTTTGAACAGAAAAGTGACGAATCCTTCCACTTGAAACACACACACATGTAATTCTTAATTCTTTCATTTGCTTGAGGGGATTAAACTTGGACATTAGTTATTTGTGGGTGAATGGTCTAATAGTTGCAGCTTCTCTGTTTTTTACAGCGGGTTTTTTGCTTAGCTCTGTTAAAACAAATAGTATGTATGCTGATAAGGAACAGATCTGGAGTATGAGTTCAGTTACTGTTTTGTTTCCTATTTGCTAACATGTGACTGACTAGAGCTAGTTTCTGGGTGGCTTTTTGATCAGCTGTTTTGATCCTCCTTATGAGACATAAAATGCTCTGTGAATTTGTGTAACAGACCTTACATTTAATCATTTCTTCTGTCAACAACTTGTTTGCTTTTATTTTGGGACAGTCTGAAATGTAGCTTGCATAGGCCAGGTGATGATCCTAAGTGTTTTCACTTTGAAAATTGTGTATAATAATGAGAAACAAATAAGGACACTAATCTTGAATTCTTAGCATGTCCCCTGTACTTAGTTTAATGATCTTTTTGTGCATCAGTAGGGAACTATTAATTTCACCCTTCAGATTTTTGTATATTTTGGCTTCAGTAACTTCTGTTCTAAAGCTGTGTGTGTGGTGTTGTTCCTTTGTAGGTAAAAGGAGGCATTGAGACTACCTTACAGAAAGAAGTCCTACAGTATGACTACTCTTCTTCATATTTTGATATATTTGTAAGTGTTCTTCAAAAAAAACCCACAAACAAGAGAAAACAAAACCAACAAAAAAAAGCAGCAGAAGTATATTTTTCATGCTTCTACAGACATTCTCTAGTTTGAGTCGTGTGAAAGGGTTGATCTTTTCTTGATAATTTAAACCAGAAGGACTTGTGCCAAATTTCACCAGTCTAGGTGTTGCCCAGTCCTGCTTTAGCGTCAGGCTCATGGATCCTGTGGATAGAGATGTTTAGGCACACTTAAATTGCATCTTCTGCTTTGAGGGGTGTAGAAAAGCAGATGAAAAACTCAGTGAAGAATGTGAGGCTGATGTAACATAAAGATAATTCATTAAGAGAACACAACCAGTAGTCCTCCAGCTGTAAAATCGTTTTGTTTAAACAGATGTTTTTGGCCTTCCACAGAAGTAAGTCAGTTGCAGTGAGGAGAGACTTGTTCCCAGGTTGGCCTGTATAGGTCAGGTTTTTTCAGATTTCTGTGTTTTAACTGAAACAGGTTTTTTTAACATTGTACTAAAAACAGATGACCTGAAGTATGATTCTCCTTTACTATGTGTAAGCAGCTTAGGCACATGAGAGGAACTCTACTGCCTTAGGAAATTTCTCTGCCTTTCAGCAGCACCGTAGCTCAGTAGTTGCGATGCATTTTGCACTGCATGGACCAAGTTACTGATCTCAATGTAAATGCTGTTTCTTTACAGTTCTTCTAAAGGGCCCCATGTTTTTACAAGATCATTAATTTTACCAGATCTTGTTTGCCTGGCAGGGGTAAATTGGTTTGGTATCGGTCATTTTATATTGATGACGATATTCAGAATCTCTCTTTGAAATTGGTGTAAAAACTCATCCCTGTTTCTGCATTGGACCATTTGCTGTGTCAAATGGAATGAGGTACTGGACGCAAAAATTTCATAAGCTAGCAAACTATGCTACTTCTCCCTTTTTCTCTTGTTATTTTGCTGGCAGGTTCTCTGTGATACACCTTACTGCAGAAGGCAAAAAATGTTATGTGTAAATGTTGATGCTCTGGAAATTATTTTGTCCTGTAGTTGAACCAAGGGTTAAAAATATGTGATGCAAAATAGTAGACTTTTATTCCTTGGGAAGGAACTAGGTCATTGAATTCTGCAAAATGATTTGTAGGCTTATATAGGATTTCTTGTGTTTCTACTACGTATCACTGAAACATACATGTTTGCATAAGATTAAATGGGTTCTTCTTACTTGTGGCCGTGTCTGTTCTTGATGTCTCTTCATTATTAAGCCTTTGTGTCACCTTTTTTAGATTATGAACACGTCTTTTAAAACAAGTTGGAGGCAATCTAATGTCAAACAATAAACAGGGAAATTGAGAGTTAGGGTCCCTGATTCAGAAATCTCATTTGTCTGCTATTGATTTAATTTTCTGGCCTAGAAATACCATAACTTACCTTTCTTTATTGTAAAATATTTGGAACAGCTTGCTGTTGCAGGTGTCTCCATAAAGAGTAATTGATTCTTGCAAGGTTAATATTTCAATAAATACGAAAAATGTATTTAGTAGAAAATTGTTTTTAAAAATTCTTCCCATTTTCTGATTGCGTTTATGAAGTCTTTACAGTTTTTAATTATATTCTTGTGCAGTAGCACACCAAGATCAGTGAGATGCACAGTGATGCTCAAGGCATTTGCTGGATTAACTGCATCTAGATTTTAACTGCATAGATTCCAGTCAGGTAAAATGATCATGAACATACATTGTGTAGTTTTCTTATGTTTCTAACTTATTTGTGAAATTGCACGTGCTTGCATATTTGAGCCTATGTAGGCATGTGAGTGGTGGTATTTGCTTTACAAATGGGAAATTATGTTCTGTTTCTGTTTTATAAGCACACATTCAAATTTATTTCTCAGTAACAGAACTTAGATTGTCCTGTTTTAAGTTGCTTTGTAAGCAGTTAGTATTTTCGGTGAGCTGAGAATCTTGTGGTTCTTCTGTGTTCTGAATTAACCAACAAATATTTTTTTCCTTTCTCTATAGCTACTGGCAGTCTTTCGATTTAAGGTGTTAATACTTGCATATGCAATGTGCAGACTGCGCCATTGGTGGGCAATAGCTGTGAGTAGTAGCCAAGCATAATGGAGTTTTAACTAGAGTGGATCAAACAGACAAAATTTTAGATGCCTCTTAACGCTTGTATGTTAAGAATCATCTCGATGCTATATATAAAAATTTGCTGTACAATAACAGATTAAAAACTTCTGGAAGATTTTCAGCCTAAAGACAAGAATTTAATAGCACAGTGGGTGTGATCCTTATTAGCTATTATGTTAATACAAATTAAAGACTTATTTTGTATCCAGTATGGATGGCTAGTCGCAACTACTTGTTACCTCTGACTTGTTAATTAATGTTTGAAATATATTTGCATTTGAAATAGTGAACTGTATTCTAAAAGAAGAATTGGCACTATTGTACCAGAGATCCAGCTGTCCATTAACTCCCACGTTCTTAGTTTTTCAGAGCTTTAGATGCCACCCGTTGAACACTAGCACCTGTATTGCTTCATGCTCCAATACAAAACATTGAAAATGCATCCCTTCTTAGAAAGGACGTTCTTGAGAACTGTAGGCAATCACAGTGGACTGGAGCAAATATCTTTAATGCAGCTGTACTGTGTGCATGAGAAAGAATGCAAAACTTAATGACAAGTTCATACTTCCACCAGTCAATACTATAGATTGTAATACAATAGGCATATTGCTGGCTTAGTGCATTGTAAATCTTAGACTTTGTTCCTCTTACACTGTGGTAGGTGTGAGTGAGTAGCATGCCATTTGTTTAGTAGTCCAAGATTACATGCCATGATTTTTATAAAATTTTGTTGTTAGCATGGCACAAACACATACATAGTAGTAACTGCTGCTCTGATTGTGTTTAAGTGCACGCCTCAGAATCCTTTACTCTTAGTTGTGTAGCTTTAGAGTATTTCTTCCAATGCCATCCTCCAGCCTGATGCAGTTTGTGAGGTGATGAAAGTGAACCCATCGTGGTAGTAAGCAATCAGATATATCAAGCTTCACTGAGGGTTTTGCAGAAGCCATTAATCTTAAAATCCTACTGGTGCTTACCAGAAGCTAGTTAGGTTCTACTATTTTTTTAAAGAATTGCTGGACCCAAATGCACTAATAGAGTTAGAAGCCTTCCTTAAGTGAATAGTACTTGTCCACTGCTTTTTTGGGTTTTTTTAAATGTTTTATGCAGCCTGCCATTGTTTAAATGTCAGGGCGTATCAGATCTTCAGAGTGATTCATTTTTCGCAATATTAGTACATGAATTAAAATACTAATTCAGATTTACTCCTGCAAAGATGTTTTGTTATTTGAAATGGATCTTTTGATTTGGATGATAGTAAAAAGCATTTGGAGTAATTACTGTTTGCTTTTTCCCAAAATACATAGATGATTTTTTTTAAGGGATTTGGTGAATAAAATACTGCATCTTCATTATATAGTAAGATCACAATTTATATGACTTGGCATCTGTGTAGCATCTAAACTGCTTATCTGCTGTGTGGAAATCAACATTTGGAGATGTCATTATTAAAAGTTATTAAAATAACCTCCTTGATAAAGATAACACTTTAAGTTAGTTGTATCATTCTTGTTACATTTTATTAATCTATGATCTTGCTGTTCTTGGTAAATATTTAAAGTTGCAACTGATAGATAATGGCAGAAATGAGAGATTAAATCTATTTTTTAGTCTTAACTGTTCTTACCCTGTCTCTTTCAGTTTACAACAGCAGTGACCAGTGCCTTTTTATTAGCAAAAGTAATTATTTCACAGGTATATATTCTAATCAAATGTTTGTTTTACTTTGCTGCTTTCTTGAAAGCAAGATTCTTCCGGGTAATTTCTGTAATGTTGTGTGGTTTTGTTTCCTTCAAGCTGTTCTCACAGGGTGCTTTTGGCTACGTGCTGCCCATCATATCCTTCATACTTGCCTGGATTGAAACATGGTTCTTGGACTTCAAAGTGTTACCGCAAGAAGCTGAAGAGGAAAACAGTAAGCTTTTGCTATTTCTCCTCAATTGTTGTAGTTGGCAACGTTGGATCCCATATTATCTGGCAGAAGAATGCTTCTTTCAGCTTCTCAAAATTTCAAGAGCTCTGGGGAAAATTAAATCATATGGCATAATTTTTCTTTTTCTGGAAAGGAACATATGCCTTCAAAGAAGTGGGGCTTTTATTAATTTAGGGAGGCAAAGCTAAAAGTTACAAGGGCCAGATCAGCAATTTGTCCAGCACTTGGGAATGTATATGATTTTCTGTGCTTAAGACATGAAAATTTAACTGACCTGGGCTTGTAAAATTTTATTTTCTGGGTAATGCATACAGTAAGTGTCTGGTTCCTTTTTTAGGAAGGGTAGAAACAATAACTCAGTGTCACTAGCTCTTCTTTTGAGGTGGAAAAGGGAAAACAAAGAAATATTGTGGAGAGTCTGCTTCATGCACAGACAGAATGAGACTAGAGCACGTAGGAATTTCAGCCTCTTCAGGATGAGGCAGCAGGTCATCTAACACTCAGTGTATTCAACTCAGCCGAGGAAACCCATTGATTTAGTTGAAAGAGAATATTGCTTGAGTGGTGAGGAGGAGAAAACATAGAATTCTGCTACAGATGTTTTGTTAGTTTCCACAGCAGGAGAGTAATTACCCAGCAAACTTGTTTGTGCATCCTTACCTGAAATGCAGTCTGAAACTCTGTTGGAAGGGCATCTTTGCCTGTCAGGTAAAAATAAAAAATTTTACATGGACATGGATGCCTCCATTATTTTTTTTTTAGCACTCTGAAAGTTAATCTTTCTACTTTGATCCATTCCCTCTTCTTTTCCACTGCTCCATGAAAGAAGTTGGTTAAATGGGTGTGCTGGCTTTTGCCTAGAGAAAGGGAAACTTAGAGTAACTTCCCCCCACACACACACACCTTGAGGGAGTGAGGAAATAACAGCTGCATCACACTTATTTTAGCGGATAAGAAATTTAACCAATTCGGAGATTTTTGCATTTTTTTAATACTGAATATTCATAGACAAAGACAGTATTTGATACATACACATGTCAATACTTGATGATCATATTCATAAAACTGAGATATTATTGCTAAATCCCTGTAGGATTCAGTGACACTTTCTTTTTTTTCATTCCTGTTGAGCTTGGCATAGATGGTATTTATTTAGAAATATATGCTTTTAGTTGAACTCTGCATATTTTGAAAAAAGATGGGTTTTCACTGGAAAATGCTGATTTTAAGCAATTAAGTCAGACAAATGATAGGCACGTTGGATTGTGTTGCTGGTGGTACTTATATAGTGCCTTATTTGCTTTTAAATCTGAGACAGATAATGAAAATAGATTTTAATAGTTTTTGCTTTTTGACCAGGTATTTTTCTCTCCTGTCTGTAGTGGGAGTGGAAGCTGACTTTTTTCCATCTTACTGTTTTGTTTTAAAAAAAACAAGCAAACAAACAAACAAGCCCACCACAGCAATTTTCTGCCTAATGCAACAGTGCTCATAATTTGGAGAAGTTTTGTCTGTAACTTTAAAAAAGAAAAAAAAAGAAGAAGAAGGAAAAAGGGCAAAACTGTCTTTCCACTGAAGATTTCCAGCTCTAAAAGTTTCCTTCTGTGAGCAGGATTTAAAGCTAAAATCCAACCAGTATGTGTCTTCTAGTACCTCATTGTCCTCTAGTGACTCATTGTTAGGTATAGAGACTGACCTTCCTCTTTTGGACAGAGTGGAAATATAAGTAAAATAGATGTCTCCTTTGGAGACTTTGAACTGGTTAATAAGATGAATTGGTATGCAGAAATAGTAGTTTGAGTTGGAAAGAGATTTTTTTAATAACTGCTGGCTACCCCAGCTCTCCAGACTCAGTAAAACATCAAGGTTTTTTGTTTTTTTTCGTTTCCCCCTATCAGTCTTCATGTGGCAGAGTAGAGGATGGAAGTTCAATAGCCTTATGTTGACCTAAAAGCCATCTTTGCCCTGTTATTATCAGAAGACCTGTTGATGGCAGTAAGGATGAGATGAACTAGCTACTCCCCCAACCCCTTTTGGGTTTTGTCCTGTATTCAACATACCAGAATAGCCCCATGTCATTTCCAAATCATTTTCCTGATTTTAGATGAAGTTGAGCCTAAAGGAGTTGAAGGTTTGAGTAACTAGGTATGTTGAGACAGATAGGGGAAAGCACACCATTAATGAAGAGTCTTATAGTGGCAAAGTGAGAAAATAATTAGCCAGTGTATATTAATGAATTTCCATATTGCATCCTAATCATGCAAGTGCACATAGTAGAAGGAAGGATTCCTTAATTCATCTGTGCAGTACCTCTGTTTTGCTAGTGTGTCTCCTTAGCTGCCTGAAGTTATATAGAAGACAACAGTGTTAATTAACCGTTTGCTTTTTTCTGAGAGATTTATTTATAGAAGTACCTTGTAGGAATGCTAATATAATACATCAGTCTTTAAGATCCTTCATCAATACTTGACCTTTGAGATGCTATGTGATAGCATTGAGGATTTTGTTTGTTTTTTCTTTTAGGATTTTTGATAGCGCAGGATGCTTCTGAACGAGCAGCTCTTCTTCACCCAGGAGTCCTCTCCGATGGGCAGTTCTATTCTCCTCCTGAATCTGTAGCAGGTAGCTATGTTCATATAGTGAATGATTTTTTTTGTATTGACATTAAACTCCTGTGTATTTCACCCCCTTCAGAAGGTAAGGCAGGGGAGGGATGAAGGGAAAAAAAATATTTTCCTTTTTAGATGAAAAGTGTACTTTACAATCCTAAACTGAAAGATTCTTTTTTTAATTCAGTAATTCAGTTTAGTTACTACTATCAGTTGAATTACAACACACGTAGTTAGTGGGGCTTTTGACGTGCCCTGAAGGTGTTAAAAACAAGGTAATTCTGAAAGAAAATGGTACCGCAACTGAAAGGAGGCATGTATTGTTTGTTTCTGCCATCGATGATCCTTATGGGTCCCTTCCAACTTGAGATGTTCTATGATCTCATATCTGCTAGCAATAGTGTTTATGCAGCAATGCACTGCTTAATCCAGCCCAAACTTGGAGCTTTACAGTATCTTAGGATAGACAGTGAACCTGAAACTGCTCTAAAGCAGACTGAAATTTCAGTCATTGGAGGCTCTTTTTCTTTCTCATAACAAAAAGCAAAAGCCCCTTCTGTATGAAAAGGCTGGCTGCGTGGTTATATTAAACTGAGGGCAAGTGTTAATTACATCTTAACTCTGCATATCGTGTGCTTTGTTCTAGTTGAGGTATGAGCCGAGTAAGCAAAAAAAAATACATGTAAATACTGCAAGACTTAAGAGTGTTGTTGCAGGCATTTCAAGGAAATGAGTAATTTCTTTATAGATTGAGTGGATTTGAGATATTTGAGGATGCAGCATGAACCCCCAAATCTTATGTCAGGCTTTTTACTGTAAAATGTGAATCTCTTCTGTAAAGCTGTGCTGTATTATGCAATATATTTAAAGTATTAATACCTGCTATTTGCTACGGATACGTTTGCCTGTCTTGCATTATAGAGTTACACACGTTGGTGAATGATATTTTCCGGTCTAATGGCTGTCTCGCTGGTTGCCGAGCATCTTGGCGTAACGAATGACTTAGCGCTCCACCTAGGGATGGCGAAGCCTTAAGACAATGTCGAGTACAACTAATGATTCAAACTGAAAACGTCCTGTAGTTAAAGCTATGAGTCTATCCTAAGGAGTAATTGTTGGAAGTAGTATACTGGATTCAGCCTGGGATTAAGTTGGTTTTTTTTTGGTAATGGATTATGCAGTGTGAGAGGAAGTGGAAGTGGAGCTGACGTGTTTTCCTCGGTGGTTTGGCTGGGTCAGTGTTGTGTGTGCAGTGAGCTATCGCACCTCAGCACGCGTGTGGTATGACAGGTATATCTCTGCTGTCAGGAGGTGACATTTAAAACGGGCTCTGTTGGAATTTTCAGCATATTTGTCTTTTTATGTCTTCCTTGAAGATGCATGTGTCCAGGGCCATGCCCTTTTCCATCCACTTCTTTATATGGGTTGACCCTTCATTTTCAATGTTAGACTTGGTTGCCAAGTAATCATTCTGGAGGTAGCAAGTGGAAAATCAGCCTGGAAAGAGTAAATTTGTACAGTTTCTGTACAATTTGAGCTTCAAAATGAAAGGCAGGTATGCTATTCCAAGAAAGGAAAGGACTTCAGAGTAGTTTGACCAAAGAAACCCACTTAACACCTTTGTCTTTCTTTTTTTACCTCTTTGTGAGAGGGAATGTGTGTCTATAGTTCAGCTTTAAATTGATGGCAAAAGCCCAGGAAAGTCTCCTAGGCATTTTATCAAAGCCAGTTCTTTACTCACCTTTACTTCCCCCCCCCCGTGGGATTCTCATTTAAGCTGCCCAAGACATGTATGGTGAAATGCATGGGCAGTAATTTCCTTAGTTGTCCCTGACAAGGGCTGGCTGCCACCTCAGATGTGGGCAGAGGGATGTGCAGAACTGCAGGTCAGCACTGCTCACCCCGCTTGCTCTCCCTGAAACGACCGATCCATGAAGCCACCTTCCCACAGAGCAGGACCTCCAGCAGGAGCTGGCTCTGGCCACATAGCCCCGTTCCCCGCTAAAACCTTTCTTTTTGGGGCCTTCCAGGGCTTTGTCACAGCTGAGAGCAGGCAGGGGCTGAGGAGAAGAGAACTGGGCAGGGAGAGGCAGAGGGAGCACTTTGGTTTCTGGCTTAGAGTGAGACAATCTCACAGAAATGAATTCATAAAAAATACAGAAATGAATTCATAAAGCTGATTTGACAGTGTCTCCTGAAGTTGTCTTCCAAAGGGCAGGATGTAGCAAGTGGGAAAATCTGCTTGATGGTGAGCACAGGTGGAGTTGATGGTCCTGAGTCTGTTGTAGTGAAGACTTGAAGCACTTGCTAACTGAGTCTGTTGACAGGGCAGGTGTTGTGAGAATGATCCCAGTGCTGGGGTTTTGGGTTGATAACTGTTAAAAAAAAACCTTCAATGTGAAATATCTGAAAAGATAAGAAATCTAAAATAAAAAGTAAGTAGTTTTATGGGAAATAGTTGCTTTGAATTGCCTTTTGATAAGCTGTTATCGGTAGTGGTCTCTTTCTTTTTTCCTTTTTCTTCGCTCAACTGATAATAGTATTCTTGTCTTCCCTTTTCAGGATCTGACGAAGACTCTGAAGAAAAACAAGACAGTGAAAAACCAGTTGTATAGCAAACATGAAAAAGCAGGTAAGTTCCTTTGCATAGAACCTGAATATTCCTAGAAATATTTTTTTTCTTCATATTTCCTTCCTGAATACTTTGAAGGGTGGGCTAACTCTTAAAGTTCATCATCGCTGAACCCACTCTGTCTGTCTTAGCAACCTTCAAGCGGGAAGGCCTGCCGGGCACTGGAGGCTCTGTAGTTGGGGTCCTCGCCTGCCAAGTTCTAGTTAAGCCGGGCCCAGGGTCTGAGAGCTGTTCTGGGGTAGTGTGAAAGGCTGCAGGCTTGGGGTGGAACATTGCCAGCCTTTATTTGTTGGCTGTCCTGGAAAGGGCAGTGGCGGACCAGGTGTGTAAAAGCTCCTTTTGTGGAACAGGGGAGAGATTTCTTTGGAGATGGCAATGGAAGTGTGCTAGGAAGAGATTTTCTTTTAGTTTAGGTCTAGGACAGATATACTCATCTTGAAGATGGCATGGGCAAAACTACTTTGGTATTTCCACTAGTTTGGCATTTCCCCTCCTCAGTCTGTTTACCATTACAAATGGGTTACATTGGAGCAGCTGCGTCTTAAGAATTTTGTAGTGTGTTTTGGTTAAATATGAGAGATGATTTCCTTATTCTGGAAGTTACTTCATTAACTTTTGTAATGATCTTGCCACGTGTGGTGAAGTGAAAGCATAGGGCAAAGCCCAAGCTAGGGGAGCTATTAAATGTTCTTCTGAAGCTTCTGATTTGAAATCTTCTAGTGCTTGTCTGGAAGAGTGGATGACCTTTTCTTTTTGACCTCCCCATTTTCAATCTCTGTTTTCTTGACTTGCGTCTTCCTTCACCCTGACTTGTGTCATCTGTTACAGAAAGGAAATCTCTTAAGGGAAGTTGTTGGGGTTTGGAAACTGGCGACAGAGTCTGTGGGTGACTCGCTGGTGGAGCTGCTGACAGAATTTATTCCTTGGAAAGCAAAGGGAATGGTTCCCATGTACTGTAATACCTCACAAAGACGTACCTTGTTGACATATGTATATTAGGTTGCCTCCCAGGTGGTATGAAAATATTTGTCCATGATGTATTTTATTATTCAGTGACTCCTGAAGTTGATCTTCTAATGACTAGGTAATTACTGGAAAGTGTTGTCTTGTGTACCTAATCAAGAGACTGGTAATATAATGAAGTAAAACTTCTCTATGGTGGAAGTATATTTAATGACTGTTGGGACTCACTAGGTAAAATTATTTTATGTTATTGCAAATGTGTCATTAGTTTTATGTTTACTTTTTTTTAACTCCATGGATTTTCTTTTTTAATGGATATGTTCACTTTCTAAAATAAAAAGGTTAAAACATGGGTAATGCATTATGGTTATTTTGTTGCTTTACCAACTGAAAAACCGTATGTGCTGCATGAGTAAACTGAAAGTGGAGATTTTATTTTAGGAACTTCAGTTGGGTTTAGACACAGTTAAAACAATTCTTTTTATTCTTTGATCCAACAGAAAGAAAATGAGACCATTTGCTATCATGGTAGTATGGTATTAAATCCCCTTTTTCTTTCCTCTGTCAAGAGTTCAGCTTTATCCTGTACTAAGTAAAACAGAACATAGCATGAGTGTCTCTTAATATGCACCAGTCTGTAATGGCTACTTGCTCAGCATCTCTCAAAAACTTTATACAGGTCAGGCAGGTTAGCAAGCTGCAAAATGTTGCCATCTTCTGTGAAGTGTTTAGGAGGTAAAAGATGAGTCCTAAAAGCTTTGTAAAGTACATGTTCCACAGTCCACTTCCATGTTGTTGAGCCAGAGTCAGAATCTTCATTCTGAAATACAGGGAAAAAAAAGGACAAAATTAAACTGAAATTCACTTTTACTAGAGGAGGGCATTTCTCAAGAAACTAGGAGTACAGCAGTTGTAAAATTCTGCTAGTAGTAGAGAAGTTCATTCTATAAAGTTAGTTTTAAGCTCTGGAAAGTCACTTGCAGGATCAGCTAGCTTAACTGAATGACTAAGATGCTGAGACACAAGTGGACTATTTTTAATTTATATGCATCCTTACTCTTCTGTAGAAATCTATCATAGCTCACCACATTAAAAAACACATCCCAAACTCGGCAGGCAAAGTACACTGCAATACCCAGAGTTAAGAGATTCTCTTAATACTTCACAAAATTTAAGCTACATTCTTTAAGAATCTTGCCAAGCTGCTGCTTGGTTGACTTCACTGAAAGTAGAGTTGGGACTAGGAGTCGAGAGCTGAAACAGCAGAAGTTTCCTGTGTGGTGGCAGTTGTTTGTCTATATGAGTAGTGACATAGTCTTGTACCTGAGAGTCTGTCAGGTTGGCTTCATCTAGTATGTATTGCTTTCTAATGGAGTAGAACATAGCTAATTCTTTACTTAGGCTTTCAAAACACTCCTTTTCTTCATCCCAGTTTACCTGTTACAAGAAAAAGAAGTCATTTAACGGAATCTGGGTAAGTCAGAGACTTGATAGAGATTCTTAATACGGAAAATGTCTTCACCATTTGGGGGCTGGTAAGGTAAAGAACAACAAAAAAAAAAGGGGGGGGGTAGAAATTCAGGCTTTCAAATCAAAATATATGCTCGTTTGGTCAGTAGTTACAAATGCAGAGGCAAAGCACAACTAATCAGTAACCACAGCAAAAGCAGCTGGAGTACCTAACAGTACATTTAACCAACTCCAGGCTTTCCTTTGCAGCTTCTGATGAATTAATTTGATTCACTTCATTCTCTCCTAAACAGAAATAGTAGTTTGTGAATGAATAAAATCATTAAGAGAATATACCTCTGTGGCCAAGCGAAGGATAAACATAGGCAGTCCTTCCAGCGGCGGAACGTAGTTCTCTATAAGGAGCGGTAACCCAATCAGGTTTCCTTCCTGCAAGGCAACACTGCTGCTTCAGTAAAAAAAAAAGAAATAAAAATTTCTTTCTTACAGTAAATGCACCAAAACTGTTACGTACTGTAAGACTGATTGTTACCAAACTTAGTGAGCCTTAGTGGTATCTGAAGTTACAAGTTTTTAAAGCCTGATGCCAGGCAGACATTGCAGGAAGAGGGTTAGTGGTGGTGGTGTTTACCTTCACTAGGTCTGGATTTAAGCCACTCAGCTCAGGAAGACCTGAATTCAGCACCTCCTCCTCCACCCACCGACTACACAGGTCCCACTTCCCAGGAGACTGTCTGGGTTACGCGACCCTTGGTGAAGCCATTAGGTTTTGTATAGAGCAAGGGGTGCGTTAGGCCACAGCACATTGAGAGCAGTGGTGATGCTGTATCCCAAGAGTTCAGCTGCACACCTGGCTGGGCAAGAGGTCTGCATTCTAGTTATGGAAGCAATGACTAAATTACTCAATTTGGTAACTAATTAAATATAAACTACTTCGTGTAGCACCCTTCTAAAAAGCAGTGTAAGTCCTGAGCATTTTTAATGAAAGGGGTAAGCCACTTACTAAGAACTGGCTCCAGTAAGATTTAAGTGCTACAAGCAAACTACTGTGGTTATCTGTTACCAAAATGTAGAATCACAGAACCTCCAAGGTCATCAGATCCAACAGTAAACCCAGCACTGCCAAGTCCACTGTTCATTTACTGTTGGAGGCAACAGCAGCAGTCACCTCATCAATTTCAAGAGAAAAATAATCTTTCAACATTTCAGTCTTCTTTTTCAGAAACTCCACAATGTACTCAGCAAGCCCTTCTTTTGGGCCATCTTCTTCTGTCCAGCCACTTTCAGGATCCTCTAGAGCAAGCATGGAAAGCTCGTATAAAGGAGCTGGCTCCTAAAAATGGAGAAGGCAAACTGTTCTTAATGATCAACACACTCTATTGGAGATCCATAGCTTCTTCCTTCACATATAAACTACTTGTAATGTTCTGGCCTGCAGAGCAAACAGTTCTGCTTATTATAACCAGTCTAAAATGTATGAATTTCTTTCTGATGATTCTGTGTAGTCCACAATCCTCCAAAGTTCTGTGATATTTACAGGATAAACACTAGCAATTAACACTGTACTTCTGATAATTAATTTGAATACAAAAATCTATAATGTAACAGCAAAACTTGGTGAATATCCAGAAGTGCCACTAATAACAAGCAGCCAGGATGGCAACTTGCAGTAGTAACTACAAAATTACTAAGTCTTCTACATTCTATTCTAACTGTAAAAGAAACAAAACATCGCTCTTGTAGTGGACAAAAACCAACCTGTAAAACCATACATTTGTCTGAAAGGATAGGCTTATTGTAAATAAATTTTTAAAAAGTCTTTTTATATAGGATATAATGTAAAATTATACTTACAGATAACCTTAAGACTCCAAAGTTCGCAAAGTCATAAATAAGTATCTGGTAGAAGAGTTCTTGGCTAAATTGAAGTACAAGAAGTAGTTACATGGACAGGCTCACGTTATCTCCAAGTTACCATAATTAGGAGGGGGAAATTAAGGGTCATCTTGGAAGCCTCAGACGTACATACCCATTCACATTAGCAAAGGTCTTACTTTAAACAGCTTAAGATTCACATGTACCATCTAGATGTTTACAATTAAATCTGTTTCTTGGTTTCTGACATCATCAGCCACACTGGCGCAGAAGTGTTATGTACTCAAGCGTGCAGCCACTATCAATTTATTCCCAAATACCTTATATTTCAACCTCTTTACTCCTTTGCTGCACAGCAAAAAATGCACGGGAGCTTGGAAATTGCTAAGACAGGTCCATCTTAAGTATATTCTCTTATTTGTTACAAAATTAATGTAGCTGGCCCTCTAAGGCTGCATATGCAAAAATACAAACTTTGTGTGCCACTGATGTCCTGCAGCTCCTTACTTAACTCAACTGGATAGAAGGTTTTACAAGGCTCGGCCCACTCATCTTTATGCAGTCTGCTGTAGACCACCATGAAGCAAATAAAATGTCTTTCCCTTCCCCAGTCTGTGAGCACAGAATACAGTCACTGGCATTTTAATTACACTGATTCCCCACAATTTTTCCCAAGCATGCCAGGCTTGTTTCCACTGTTCTGAACAGATTGCTTAATCTTTAGCCTCATGATTTTTCAGATAGGCAACAAGAAATAGATGATCTTTTTCCTGTCATTTCCTTCCTCCTTCTAATTAGCTTGGTAATTGGTACTTCTTTCAACCACCACCAAGTCTAACAGCTTCTTTACCTGAGTTTTGTTGTGTTGAGAAGATACAGTTTTGTCTGATACTGGGCCAGAGCCCACTGAGGACTGACACAGCCAACAAAAGAGTGATCATGTAGCATCTCCTGAAGATCTGAAACAGTTGAGGAGAGGGAGAGAAACAAAAGGATATCATTTCATATTTGCAACTCTGCCCTCATTTATTTAGTTGGGTAGTTTGTGTCTTTTTAGTGTTAAAAGTCTCAGGTTACCGTTCAGTCACTGCTGTACCCTGCTGCTTCTTACAGGCCTGTACTACCAATTATCCACATGCTTTGCAATATTAATCACTTGTGTGCATACACATATATATATTAAAGTGTAAGTGAGAATAGTTATATAACAGTTATAATGCAGATTTAAAAAATAGTAATAAATCTCTGTGCTTGACTTGAATAGCCTTTCAAAATTCATTTCCAGCCACAGGAGATCAGTAAGGGAGCACAGACATACTTCAAAGAAAACTGCAGGTGTAAAACAACTTTGCAGCAAAATCTAATGTTGTCAACTAAATTCTGAAAGTGGGATAGAATAGTTCCATCATTTATTTTTTTCTCAGCCCCAAAATAGGTTTCTGACCTTCTCATTTTTATATATACGTATATATTAAAAAAAAGTAGGAGAACTCAGATTCCATAGTAAGTTCATTTTAGGCATTCCACATTAGCGCAGTCCTTGGGAGCAGCCTTGTTACAGGAGCTTGGCGCCGCAGTCACAGCACGTACAGAGCATGACGCTACCCAAATTCCACCGTTACCTTTTCCAAAGGAATGCAACACTGAGAAGAATATTTCTTTCTTGGAAGAGTCTCTTGTAGGTATTTCTTACATAGGTGAAGACAAGACACAACCTCAAGCAGCTGCACAAGCTCTACTGTGTATCGAGACATTTTTGGACATTGTATAGCTCAGGGACAACTCTTGGATTTCAGTAGTTAAACACTGACAGTCAGATACGGAATTACCAGCTCAGAATTACCAGCCTAATGCAAAACTTTTTCTGGAGCACAAGTTTAGTGTAAATACATGCCTTATAAAGATCAAGATTTTTAGTAATTTATGAAAAAGTTTTTTATTACAGATGTGTGTTAGTCTAGCCATTTTAGCTGTGGCACGTCCCCAGTTCTTACTACCAGAAAAATC